CCCAATGTAAGGTATCGATGGTGCTCCACCGAGTTTGAAGCGATCTGAGAGCATCTTCGAACTCCCATCGATTTTCTAAACTTTCTATATCTATAGAGCTTACTGTACGCATAAATGCCTTAAAATTAATGGTTTGCTTCTTAATCATTTCGTCTAACTTGGTGTTTTTGTTAGACGTATCAAGATGCTGTGGTTGACGGTTGTGCGAAACTGCTAACGATTCAGCACTAGTTGACGGTCCTGGTTGGTATAGAACCTCTACTTCCGGTTTTCGAGGGGTAACGTCTTGCTGCACTAGCTCGGTCCGTCTACCTAACTGCTCCTTTGAAATTATTTGTTCTAAAATATTATTAACAAGATCTTTTATAGTTAAATAGAGTTCTTCCGCTGTATCAAAGCAATGTTTGGTAAAATACACATGGTCAAATTCCGCTAGTTCACACATTTTTGTGTGATTTCGCTGGTATTCACTCCAATAATTTTCAAGTAATTCAAGCTTGCGCTTACAATATTCCTTAGTTTTCCTATCAGCTCCATCTTTCTTAATATTGGTTACAAATCTTTTCAGAGTTTCATATATCTCCGTTTGGTTAACAAAAAGTGACTCCATGATTTAAAATACGATGTGAAATATATATAAAGGTTAGATCTGACCTTAAACTCTCCTTACTCGGCTTGCAATTTGTACTGGATTCTGTTCACTGCAATCCTTATTTTGTCACTGTTCACTATAGTCACTGGTTGGTTTAGTAGGTCCTCGACTCCACGAAACAGTAATTATTAAGTTATTCGCGAACCGAAGTCCTTTTTTCTCGAAGGACCATGAAAAGGTTTCTTTCCACACGGCGTTTAGTGGTAAGTCTCCTTTTGCGTTAGATATAAATAAGAAGTCGAAAATGTCTATAAAATCGTATAATAATGACTACATATAACACGTAATAAATGGTAAAATTAACTATTATTATTATCACTAAAAATTGGTTAAATATATTATTTTATGTATATGGTATTTCTGGTTATTGAGCACGAGTTGCGTAAATGGTAGCGTTTGTCGTACTGAATTAATATTTTAAATGTAAAGTATAAAGTGCTTACTTGCATAAATATAATTATTGCTGTTCGTTGATTCTATAAGATGAAGTCTTAATCTTAGCAAACGGGTCACTAGATAGCGCTAGTTGTATTTTAAAACTTGGTTCATTTATTGATGATAGGTATATAACGGATACTGACAATACATATACAGCTCAATAAATCACACTCAAAAAAGTAGATACTAGAAATTTATTTTATTGCGATAGCTATATTATAATAGCGATGGCCAAAGGACAGCATAGTCGTATACCACAACACTTTATTTTATTGTGATCAGTACTAAAACAATTTAAGCACACCTTATTCACAGCGCTGACCCATATTTTACAATTGTCTACCCAAAGTAAGTTTTCCTTTAAGTGTTTAAAAAACACTTCTTCCAGTATATAAGTCGGAGAAAAAACAACTGATTAGAAATATAGACCTTTTTCGATACTTCCACCTATATACTATAAAATATTAGATAAAACTATTAACGGCGGACTTGTAGAGTATTTAGAGAAACAATCTTATTATCACAAAATCACTGTGTAATTTAAATATGGTTGATGGTAAAATAATATCCTATGCTGATGACACTGCTCTTCTATTTACTGTATACTCATTTAAGAGGTACATGAAAAAGCTTGGCTAAGCTTAAATTTAGTGAATAAATGGCAACATTTACTAACACTAAATGCGGTCAAAACTAAATATGTTCATTTTTCTATGCGCCAGTCAAACTCAACTATCACTAACACAGAACTGCTAGCTCATCATTGCAAAGATCCTTAAAATAATATATGTAGCTAAAACATTATTACTAACTGAGAGAGCCCAGCAGGTAGGTCTAAAAGTTTTTACTTTTCATCCTTTTATATTCCCCACTGTGGAACTCTACAGATCATGTAAGTTACTGACAGTAAAACAATTAGTTAAAAAAAAATAGGTATCATATACAATGATTTCTTTTTTTATTTTAACTTATATATCCAAAGATAATTTAAACAAACTTTTCTACCATTTTTTCATAAAAAATAAGAATTAAAAGCCTTCAGTTGAAATTTCTTTTTTATAATACATTCAAAGGTAACTTACTAGTTGATTCCATGTTGCTTACAATTTATACTTTTTGTCTATTCTTAGCTAGTGAGGTGCACACCGTCATCTCATGTCCACCTAAAACCATAATATATAATGAATACATTTAATATGTGAACAAAATTTAAGTAAAATAGCCTTTATTCCTAATATCAATAAGGATTATAAAAATTGTCTACCAACAGTCTGATATTGATAATATTTAAGGTAAATGCCCTTGTTATCTTGTTACCAACCTAACCTTGATAGTGATTTTATGCTAATAAATTATAAAATAAACTAAATAATGCTAATATTTTGTTATTAAATTATTATACCTGAATTTTCTAACAGTAATCCATAAAGTTGACTGAATGAGTTCTATTAGTTCTTTAGACATGTACACGAGACATGAACAATAACCTGAGAGAAGATCAAATTACAATTTTGCATTATCATATCATACAGTGAGTGATATCCATTGTTTATAGGGTCCAGACATATAATTGGCAATGGAAACCAAATACAGTAACCAAGTTTTAGTGCGAAGTTAATAATTGATTAAAGGTGTCAAGTCTATGTAGGGTCTTGAAGAAATACAGCTAAACAGACAGTGTTCATGATTAATAGTTTATGGTATAGTAACCTAGGGGAATTTATTCATCATAAAGTATAAAAGACCACTTTGAAGTACCTCAGATATTTTATATAAATTCAATATATAATGTTTACTAAGTTTTCTATTACATTCAATTAATAGGTCACTCCTGTTAGACTTCCTCATGCAACATACCTAACGACACTAACAAAACAATCCTTTGTTTATAGTGGAACTGTTCACAGGTTTCTTATTTTACTATATCTCACATTATGTATAGTTGTAACTAGATGACTTAAATTTTAATTCTTAAAAATGTATACGTATAGGAACAATAGCAAGTAAATAATAAAATATTACACTGTTTCACAACCTAAACCACTTTCAACAGATGTTATCAAGGCGATTGATAGTTTGATTTTATATTAGTTTCAGTTTCGCAATTCGGTACTTACGTTTAAGCGGAGTACTATATATGCTAATGACCTACATACAGCCACTTATACACTTTAAATATAATACATTTTAATTGAAAAACGATAAATATCGAATAAGTTAATAATCAACTCGGTTCATATTAAATTACACTACTACAAATATGGAAGTTTCATAACTAGTATAACGTTAAACGGCTTTTTTCAAGGTAACGAAAATAAAGTTTCACGTTAGATTTACACAATTTGCCCAATTTTCGTATAAAATTCAGAAACTGAAACGAACAACTTTTCTACTCCCCCTACGTCAAAAAAATATTGACTTTGACAGTGACTTTCACGGCGTTTATTGACAGCTAATGCGTTTCGTTTCCATAAATCTCTATAAATCATCAAATACAGGTATTCTTATATAAAATGAGCATTTTATATATAATAAAGGTTGAAAAATTAAAAAAAAATATATCTTTGCTCTAATTATTAAAAGTATATGAATGCAGTACCATAAAAAAATACCTCTGATCATAGAGGAATAATATAGCTTCTGATCTTTAAATGTGAATCCATGTCTGTGGTATTAATTTTTTTTAAAGCATACCAGCTATTCAACGAGTACCTACTTTTTATCATTGAAAAAATTATACACGTACACCATAGAGGAATAATATAGACATACACAAAAACTACTTGCACAACATTACATACATTATAAATAGTCCTATTTTTGTTTATGATATTTTTATGAGCGTTCTTGTGTTTTGCCTAGCCAAATTTTATTCAATGAACAAATAAACTATTTTATGACTACGCCTACATAATAGAGAAAGTTTGCCAAGCAAGGTGTGTGGTATTCTTCTCCCAGTAACCCGAACTTACTGCCGAACTTGCCGATGACTAGCTAGCAATATATCTTGACACAGCTATGCCCACTCAATATGAAATACCTATATGAGTTTGTTTTTTTTAGGAAAGGCTGCTTATTCATTATTCAATACACAAATACAACAGTTTTCACCATATGTATTTATTATTTTTTAAAAATTAATGACATTTAAAGTAAAATGTAAAATGAAGTTACATCAATTGTATAATACGTATTGAACTTTCAATTGATTATATTGGACAACACTATTTATTAAGTCCGTGCCATAGCAGATTCATGCGTATGTATGCTGCGTGACGTGACGGACGCGTGACTAAGAATATAACGATACCATCTAGATATTGATATAGTATCGGTCACGAGTCACAATTAGCTCGTAGGTATCGATACCTACGTGGTATCGAATGAAAAATATCGATACCTGCTCGTATTGAATAGTTTTGTAATGCCTATTCGACTTCGTGATTTTTATAGATTTTTAGAGCAGATTTAATACTATTGATAGCCAATAGAAATACTCTGTTTATGGCAGAAAGATAAGCAGGTTCAGGCATAAAAGTAATGTATATAGTTATTGTTTGTTGGCCTCTGGAGATAGAAGTCTAACCTCATAAAAATAGTAATAGGGGCTGGCAATGCTACGTCATACGACAGGGACGCCACACCTTTGGGACTATTTCATAAGACATACTTTTGACACCTTACCACAGAGAAAACAGTCATATGCTCGGGGTTTTTTGATTTTTGGTATCAAGTACTGATATAAATACTTATTTTACGATACTACTTGTTACTCGGTGCTAAAATATCAATATCAAAGTACTTGGTTCAAAAGAAATTAATCAAGTAAGTACTTGTATTTACTCATATCGTCGCATCCCTATTTATCCTTACGTGTGACGTCTTCTTTGTCATTCGATTAGTTTTATTTGTGTAGGTGTCCGTCCTTTCATCAACTGTTTATTTTGATGCCGACGTATATTTTGAAGATATATTGAATTAAATAGCATTATGTCAGCACAAAATGTAAATGTGTGTGATATTGGTGATGACGTAAAAGAAGTTTTGAAAAAGTTTCGTTTTCAGAAACATAATTCTAACAGTGCATTGATATTGAAGGTAAATACGAGTGCTCATCAATAATTTATTTGTGACTCACAGCGATAAAGTCATTGGGGCGTGTAATTCCAATGTGCCTATCGTTCTTTAGTTCTATGTATTCGTAGTTGGAAATACCAACTCGCTTTTCAAACCAAAGATAAACTTAAAAATACCGAAATTTTTAAGTTTCAGCAAAAGGGGCAGACTCATAGTCTGCCGCTTCTTTTTGTCATTCTTTTCAAGTTACATATTTTTCCAAATTTACTTCTTAACATTTACCTGGTTCTAAACTTATAAATTAACATAAAAATCTCTAATAACTTATAATCGTTATCACATGTGTGCAAACTTTCATTAATAATTGTATGCTGCGACAGATGTTTTTCTATCAAAATTATAAGTTTTCTGACCAAAAAATTTTCTGATTTCTTTAATTGGGTTAATTTGAAAAATAATGAAATCAGTCTAGCTGTTTAGAATGCAACATCAGACATCAATTAGGTACTATTACACAAAATTTTCTACTTCAATTAAGAACTGCTTACCAATTGTGATACTATTATCCAACACTTCAAATAGCTCAGGTCTGGCATTAGAATTTATTTAATTACCTGGAAGAAGGAACTGCAATGTGTGGTGTCACACAGTCCTAGAGCATAAAGATGTTAACAGCTGAAAATGCAGCCAGAACTTGACATACATTTCAAAGCATGAAGGAACCTGGGATAACATTGGCCACGCTACTGATGATCAGCCCCTGCTAAAGTTGCTTAATATTAATCCTATATTTTTAATAATAATTCACTAGTATTTTGATTTATAAATATAAAAGCAAGATTGTCTTTTTTTTTTCAAGTTTAAACTTGTGTTTTTCAAGATTTTAAATAATTTGCATAATATTTCAGGTGAACAGAGAAAAGCAAGCACTGGAAGTAGACGAGGAGCTAGAAAATGTTGAGGTGGAAGAGCTGCAGGACATCCTACCATCACATCAGCCCAGATTTATCATATACAGGTAGGTTATGTATAAAAAAAAAATTATATCTGTGAGAATGGTGACAATTGTAATAATTAGAAAATAATTACTGTGAAAATTGTATAATTAAAAAATATAAATGGGATTTTGAATCTAATTATTAGATATTAAACTTGAATGTAAGTTTGCTAAGAACTTTGCCAAGAGGTAGGTCACTAACAAATTAAATAATTATAAGAAACTAGTATAAATTTTTCAGGCGCCAGACCTACCTGGAAAGCAAAGTCAGAGAGTTTGGAATTTTAATCATAAGGGGGGCTAGTAAATAACGAACAACAATTTTACTTTCGGTTTGCCATTTATTTGAATGAAACTTTTAAGTATTCTAAAATTAAAGTTAAGTTTATAATCTCCAAAGTCTAAGAGGTGATTAGAATTTCGGAACTATTAATAAAAAGGTTTTAGATCACCAAATGAGCTGCTCCTTAATGCACCGTGCTTACATAGCTGCTTCATAATTATATCGTGCTAAGCTGGTGTGCCCAAGCTTGTGATGTATCAAGTGAGTGTGGCGTGGCTCATGCGGTAAAGGTTATGATTCAGTACATCAAAATTGAAGTACAAGAAAAGTGGTATATAAAAAAAGCCAACGGCTGAAAAGAAATCACACTGTTGTTTAAAATTTGGAAAACAAAACAAAGGAAAATATATCGGATGATTCTGTCGAAAACTTACCGTTTTAAAAAAACACTAAAGTGACATGGGGCAAGGTGGACCCTTAGGTGTTGTTTCCACCTGCGAAGATAAAAATTTTGAAAATCGAAAAATACTATGAAATAATTATAATTCCATGAAGGACAATGCTTACCATTATAAAATATTAGGTATTTTACTTAAATACCGTTGATGCAACAAGATTAAAATATAAGAAAAGATTCACATCTCTTCGCTATTTAAAAAGGTCGTGAAGTGACAAAAGTCAAAACTGACAGTCAAGTTTATTTTTTTACGAAACTCTTTAAATTGACCTCGGGATTAGGCCCATTCAGTAGAGTTGTAAGAAAAATACATGTGACGTAAATTTTACATTACAGTTATTTGTAATCAAAATAATAGTTAAAGGTAGCAAACAAAAAAAATCGAATAATTTCATACTTATAAAGAATATTTAAATGTTGGCGCATATCTGATGAGAGATGTGTTGTAGAGTGTCAGAACTTACAAATATATGATGCGATATTCAACCTACGAATTCAACAGCTACGTACTAACATATACTTCCATGAGATGCTCGACGGATCTTACCTGATTTGTACCAACCCTCAGTCGTCATATCTTTTTCAAAAATTTACTTAATATATGAAAATCAATAACTGCTTGATTTATATGGAAAAACAATGTACAAACTCAAACCTTTTTCTTTTCATTTGCAGTTATAAACTTGAACACAGTGATGGTAGGACATCATTCCCAATGTGTTTTATATTCTATACACCGAGAGATGCACATATGGAGTTACAGGTAAGATTCAACTCAATATTCTCCGCTTAATGACTTATTATTAATTAACTAGTCTCATTACAGGTAACCTGAAAAAAGTAACATTTGGATGTATGTAGGCAAAAGCTTCTCAACTTCATTACACTACGCATTTTGATGTTCAACTTAAATGCCTTACCAATACCTGTTGTGTCTGCTTAGATACACCTGGCATAAATAATACTGACTGCCATCTCCACTTACATCAATATTCTAGTTATAATATAATGATGTGTGTGAAATTTGAATCATAACACACACACATTTCATCCTAGTATATGCACTTGTATTATTTATTGAAGGCTCTTAATTGCAGTCACATTTTCTTATTACTCCATATTATCACACATTGGAATGTGAATTGTGTAATAATCACGTGTGTTAGATTTGGACTGAAAAACCTTTTTTACTGAATAAATACTTAGAAGTTTAATAATAATAGTAATTATTGCTTCGTCTCAAGGTAAAAAATGTGCTATGTTGAGCTTCTCACCCATCACTTTATGCATAACATTGTACAATAAAATGAACAAACTGTGTTTTCCTAAGTGAGGTAGTAGCTGACACATCTACCTATACATATACAGGGTTATTTGTAAAAAACCAACAAACACAGAACTAAATTGCTAACAACAACTTTTTGACCGGCTTCAAAATCAAAAAGAAGAGGTTATATGTTTGATGGCGATGTATGTTTTTTTTTACTCATTGTTTTAACTATGACTTAAAACTTAAAAAAAAATCGTTAACATAATTTTAATATGCTGTTGTTACATTTATGAATGTATGTTTTAGTCATAAACGAAAAGCACGCCATGCTGATATTAAGTATCTAGTAATGCGAGATTTCTCCTGTTTTACTGCACTAGCCCTGTATAGTTATAATAATTAAAAAATTATGAATATATAGGTAATGTATGCCGGTACACAGCGCGCGTTGGCAGCGGCGGTGGGAGCGCCCCGTCTACTCGAGGTGCGGGAGATAGACGAACTCACAGTCGATTGGCTAAACGAGAAACTCAAGAAGTAGACTACTATGCCTCTCTTTTACATATGACTCACACGTCATGACTTTTACTGGTCAGAGTTTTGTATATTTTGTGCACTCGAAAGTGAGATGTGTGAAAAATTATTAGTTTTTTTTTTGCCAGATCTTATAAAATGATATCCGTATATTATGTAATATAGATTATTTAAATATGATCCTATTTTAAAATTGTATAGCTATTAATATTATCTGATAATACGACATAATAGACAAAGGAAAGCGATTATTCATTAAGTAAGTAAAAGTTATTTCGTGTCATATGAGAAATAATATGGGCCCATATGATTGCTTAACGTTTGTAAGTGAATATTTTTATAAACCTTATATTCTGTTATATAAGGATGATATTCACTTTTTTATTTAAATTTTAGTCGTGCCTGCTGTAAATCAGTTATTGCTTGGAGAAAATACCTTTATTTGTCTCTCTTTTCGCGCTCGAGAAATAAGCGTGGAAACGGAGCACAGGAAAGGATAACTATCCTTTGCTGTGCTTTTGTTCGTAGATAGAGACATATTTGCCGTGATCTTATCCACATCTCTAATCGAAATCTCTGATTACAGGCAGCCGCTATTTACAGACTAACTTATAATTTTATAAGCTTTCATTGTGATGTTTTTATTCAGAGACTAAAAACTTTGGACATTGTGTCTGATATTTTAAATAAATTACGAAGTATTAACGAGATTAATATATAATGGATTATAAATAAACGACAAGACTTCTTAGAAAAGCTTGTTCTTCTATAAAAATGAGATTAGAGTCTGTCAAAACTTTCATTGTGTTACTTTGGTGAGTGTGAATGATATACTGCATTTTGTGTGTTGTTTGTATAATTTGTGTAAACCAAAGTCGTTTACGTATATTTGTATCGGCGTTTAATTAAATATTGTACAGACTGAGGTGTGGATGTTGCGAAGTTAAGTTTATATATGAGACTCTATATCACATAAAAATTGAAATAATTTTGCTCATACATATAAAATACTACATTTTTATGGTTTGTTGGTGATACAGCACAATAACGCACTTGAAACCTAATTTTCAACATACAAATTTAGTGGCACATCTTCTGTTGCAGCACTCTCTATATGGGGTATATGACGCTTCGCTGAAAACTATTTTAAATGCTTGTTTTATAAATGATAAACACACTGTCAATATACTTCACGAGAATCTGTTCTATTTTCGATTAAAATAATTGTTAAAGTTTAAATTATCAAAATCGCTAATCACGTGGTATTTGTGACGTCACACGCCGGTAAACATGTCAAGGCGACATAACCTATTTATCAACTATTTATTTACACAATTTTATGTTTTATATTTATATCGAGTAGATAGAGTGGTTTTGTTTATAAAAATGAGCTTCAAATTTTATGTGTAAATATAATTTTTGCGTATCTCTAATAACACTGTTTTAACATGACAGCTTCCTGTTTATGTGTGACGTCATTACCAACCAATTACAGGGCGTTCTCGTCGTTCATTAAAATTCCATAAAAATGTTTCACTTTCTTTATGTTATTACCCCAAACATATTTTGTCTGCAAATTCTAATAAATAAAGTTTATAAGATTATTATCTAACAGGATGATCATAAAACGCAATTTAATTTTATTAGTGTCAAATACTAATTTAAAAATAATAATTTTAGTTTGACTTCTTTTACTTATTCCATAGTCACATGTAATTTAAAAGATATGTAGTATAGTTAAATTATAATTCCTATATATACTTATTTATAGTTCTGCTAAAAAAGATGTGCTGTAACAATATTCTGTTAGTCATAAAAAACTTTTATAAGTGAAACACCCGCAATCTTGTAATAACAACTTTTGCTTGCAAACAAAATGTTTATGATTGTAAGTAAAATCTACTAATATGTATGTTTGTAAGATTATTGCAATTTTTATGATTACTCATATTAACTATTGTTTGTTCTCTCAGGGTCTAATATTTATTTTTCTAGGCATTTTGGACACCTTCGTTTGCCATGTAAGTGTCTCATAAAGTTGGTAATTGTGTTTTGTCGATTATTTAATTATCTTAACATAATAAGAAAACCAATTATTTGTTTCTTTAAATATATATGTAATGTTCTTAATGAAAAATGTTTAGAAACCACCAGCCCCATAAAGATAATACTAATTATTTATACAGGTATTATGTAAACATTTACTTTTCACTCCATATCACTTCGATACATGTAAATTAGCAATAAATTTACTTTCATATCTGCAATATGAATTTTACGGTCGGTGCAAATCTTTCACGTTATTAAGAGTTCGATCATTGGAAAGGTTCAAATGTTAAATGGCACAATATTTATCAGTTGTGTCTTCTTTTATTATGGTTGTGACGTTCCGAAACTGAAGAAACGCGACACATGTTCCACCAGATGTGCACCGACCTTTACATCAAGTTGTAGTTCCAAGACTTAACTGAAATTATTGAAACACGATTTATTATTTAAATACTTAATACTATTTTAAAAAATCTGCTGAAGAGACTGTCTTTTCGCCTCGGACATTTCCTGTAAGCCAAGTGAATGTTGTCGCTAGTAATCGCCAAGATACGGGATTAAGTACAATTTCGAGGCGTCACAGACAATTGAATCTTGTATTTTTAATGTAAATATTAATACAGAGTTTTGAAAGCAATAATTTAATCCAAAATAATAGATATTTGACAATTTTCTTAACATTGGTAATAGTCTTGGATTTCTAACAATATATCCAATGGTGCAATTTCTATGTATTGTATTAGGTAGTTTCGTACACTAAGTATAGAGTATTATTTATTTACAGTGATTTTATAGCATTTATATTGTATAAAAAAAGACACGAATTACAATACTTACTTATAACAATGTTTTTGTTCTTTACTGCATCTAATGTCTTTATAATAAAAAAAAAATACAAAAGATCAGTGCATACTACGATTGCGTAGCTTAAGCTCCGTTCATAGAATTTGGTAAACCAAAATTTTTACTATATTGGGTTCCTCCGTGTTGAAGAAGGCACGCGTGCGTCGGTCGCTTCGCGCGCGCCACTACTCGCCTTAAGAGCCGAGTGAAACATTTGTGATTGATTAATAATTGATCGAATATTGAAAACTGTATAAACATTTTCTTACGCAGAATTGATGCCTTTTGGTTATTAATTTATTTCTTCACTCAATAATTATTTTTTATTGTCTTTTTTAACTACATTACAATCATTTTTTGATTTTGCTCACTTTACTCCAACCGATTAATATTATTAATATAAGATAACGTTAAATAGTTGCGAGGAAGTGCTAAACTAAACTACAGAATAATAGTACTCCTAAAACTAAACCGAGTTTTCTATTAAACTCATAAAACCGACCCTCGGTCAATCGATAAATATGTTGATTATGTATCGACTCCAATCTTTCATTCGAAGCAACTAACTATTTTGCCAAATGAGGTGTGTTTATACCTCGTGTTCTAGGCCTCAGAAAATGAGGGATTTAAAGTTGAAAAACGAGCACCTCTCTCGTTTTGTCGCAACAAGTAACCCAAACGTGGTACCTCACGAGTGTGGGACTCATCACTACTGCAGTCTTTATTATTAGCGATGGACGTTATTCGCGATAGACAGTTGTTCAACTGGTGATTTTCCAGAACCTCGATCACTCGTGATTCAGTGTCAGTAACTATCTATTTTCCACAACGCTTTAAAGTAAAGTAAATCACATAACGCTGATGTTTGGGCAACCCGCGATCACCAAAAAGCAGAGATCACAGTTCGCAGCTATACGTAAACATCTTCAAGAAGTCAACGCTTTCCATTGACGGTCTTGTGTTGCAATTTTAATAACCGTATAGAATGTAACACCTGTCATGAAACAACAACAGGATGTCAGTATAGATGTGAATGCAATAGGTATATGTTCCTTGTAATTTGGCTTTCGGAGTGATCAAGTAACCAACCCAAAATTGAGCTTTATCGCGTTCGCATAAGCGTAAAATTCGTTTTGTATTTATAGCATTGTGGAAATATTAGTTATCAAAAATAGATAATTTTGATATCAATGATTTAAAAAACACGTTACGTGATTTAAAAAACAGATAACGACCCATCACTAGTTATTATCACCCACCAATTTGCGGTACGATACCTCCACAGGGAAGGCCAGTGTGTGTCTCACCCAGCGGTATACAATAAATATTTGTGAAAAGATATTTCGGGATTTCTATGTTAACAGGACTTCTTTCTCAGATGAAAAAACAATACTGGACTAGATGAAATCTGCAAGGTGAAACCTGGTAATCTGTCGCATATTGATTCATATTAGATAAAACGGACATTCGCCCAATATACAAATGCGTTTCGAATCATACTGACTACTTTTATGAAACTGATATATTTAATGTAACACGGCAACCACACAAAAATATATTTTCGCTTTCAGCAGAAAAAGGCGGCGAAAATTTAAGTAAAACTCTAGTGATGCGTCTACCGATCTAATAGTTACAATTGAATATTCAAATTATTTATTTACGTTGGTAATACTTTCGATTTAAACTGTAATTATTAAAAATTGTATTTATAACCCATAACTTTGGCACTTTTAGTTTCGGAGGCACTGAGATCCACACCCTGTTCCGCCATTTTACTGTACGGTAACTCGGCGAGCACCTCGAAACCAGTTTTAGCTGCTAACACTTGTGACGTGATAGCCGTAAATACTGTACACACTGCATGGATATCTAACGCTTTGCACAGAGGTTCCCTGGAATTAACAGAGGTTAAAATCATTATTTCACACATCAGCTTTTATACGTAACTTTCATACGGCGGACGATGAATATAATCTTAAATTGTCTTAAGTATGAATAACTATAGTGTCCTGAATACACGTCAAGCGTCTTCTAGAAAAAAAAACTATTATTTTACCTAGCGGCCATCATCCTTGCACCAATATTCTGACCCCGGCACGCAGGCAGCACTGTCAGGCCGCTTGAGCTCAAGTATTTATCCACTCCATAGATGCTGTACACATCCACCAGTTTCTCTGCAGTCACTAAAGTCTTCAAGAGTTTTTTCCAACTTTCTCCTACCACCTGAAAGAGCAAATATTATATTTGAACAATTTATAAGTGCTACTCTGTAAAGCGATCGAGATGTCGTTCAAGATTTGCCTCGCTCTGCAGAGCGACCGCCTAAATCCTTGATAGCCTTAATTCTAGCAATAAGATGCGATATCTTAGCTACGTTATGCCGGTATTTCATTACATTTTACTACTTTGACATGTACTTTAGTATCGATGAATGAACGATAGAGAATGATGATTACATTACCAACCTAGCCGTTTGTCCTATGGCTAGTATCAAGGCTAGAAAGTTAGGCTGTCGCTCTGCTGATCTGTAGATAGAAAAATCATAGACTATGCACCATGATAACGATAACACATCCATAGAATTAATAAGTACTACGTACAACTGGAATGCTAACTGCGATCTTTTTGACATATCAAAACGAACCTTAATGATATGTGAATAAAGTGTTTTTTAAATAACCATTATCTACATGGAGAAATGAGCTCAAGTGAGACATCTTTTTTCTTGGTGTGTCTCTGTCGCACAATTGCCATGTGAAATATTGTTGATATAAAGGTGGTAAATTCGTGAAAACTGTTTACACAGAACAAAACGTTTTCTATATGAATATTATATTTGGCTTGTTTATAAGTTTACTAATAATATAAATGCAATAGCTTTTAGGTCCAGATAAAACAAAGTTTTTATATTTTACGACATTTCAATATTGCGGGCATGTTTTATTACCTTTACGTTATGCAACACTAGGTAAATTGAAGTATTCACGTGGCACCACAAAAGCAACATGGCGTTTTCATTTTTGTCATATGGACTTATTTTTAATGCTCTCTGAATTAAAAAAGTGCTTTAAATAGTATATTGGATTGAAAAATGGTAAACAATATATGTGCTGTGAGTGGGTATGGGAAAGAATCGTACCTGGCTGTGGATTATCTTTTCACAGGTAAGTATGTCATCAGTAGAAACTAGGGTGACTATACTTTAAGTATAGAGATGTAAAGTACGTACGTACTATAAGCATAGACCCTATTATTGCCTAATTAAGTACTAAATTTAAAATTGTTGTATCACTTAACACTTTGGTTATTCACTATTTGCAAGTCTACCTACATTAAGCAAGCATGTAGAGGCTCATAAATGGGTATGCTTTAATCATTTTATTGGTCAGTAGGCTTATCGTTTGATCGATCTTTTGCAAATATCTATTTACACACCAAACCAAACCAAATTATTACTATAATAAAAAATATACATTTTAATTTAAATTTCCAGTTTGCCATCGGATTTAGAGTAAAAATGGTTGATACCTGGGAACTTACATGAAAGCTGTGTGGTTTGTACACTTCATTTCAAACCCAAAGATTACCGAACAGAGGCTCGAAAAAGGCTGAAATCAGAAGTGATTCCTTCAATCTTGCCAAAGGTACCTACCTAATATTAAAGCACTCATTTATAAACAACATTATATCGAAAATAATAAGTTAAAACAACAATTCATATTATAACTTATTTTTATGTACCTACCTAATTTCATTACAGATTTTTCCTGATAACAAAAAAAAATAATGTGTTAAACGCCTGACTAAAGTCCTTCATGTAAGAAGTTAAAACTTGATATTAATACTAGGCAAAAATCAAAAGAAGAGACATGAAGATGAAGATTAATAATTTAAATTCACTTTTAGCAGTTTTAAAAGAAAATTGTAAAAATTATGAAAAGGTACAATCTGTCATAACAAACTGTTTCCCAAATATTCATCAGCAATTGAACAAAAATAAATCCAACAAAGGCATGAGATTCTCATAATAAGAATGTCAACTTATGGCAAAGGTCTCACATTCAAGGCCATTGGCACATCTCGCGCTACTTTACGCCATAAATTGCACAAAACAAAATTGCACAAAACAATTTTGTTAAGTAATGTTTAATTTTAAAATGTAAACAATACAGTCATAATAAAATATACTATTTTGATTGCGTTTTATTATTAGGTCTTCCCCCAGTGGGGGGGGGGGGGGAGGTCTGCCTATGAAATTGGTGATTTCTATTTTTTAAATTTATTATTGTGGAGTTGAGATTAAATAAAAATTTTTCCTGCTTCATATAATTATTATTCAATTTCAATAATCAATATTTTCTTTTAATGTCCAATGTATTCAGGTAAGAATGGTTACACTACTTAGAAAGGGACAAACCAAGATTTATGACCTCTCACTCGGCGCGTGTTTAGACGCACAGTAAGCATTCTAGTTGTACGTAGTACTTATTAATTCTATGAACACATCACCTCTCAAGGCTATCTATCATTGTAAAGAATTTCTAATGAAAAACTCAAGTCGATTTTCAATGAGGAAGTATTAAAAAAAAAAAACACTAAAAAAGCACCTCCACCAAGATGGCGACTCTAGAAAAAGTTGATTTTTGCAGAATACGAATTGACCAAAGACAATCATTTCCGTTCCTTTTAACTAACATATCGACGTTGGAAACTGTGTGACCAATTGTGGCAGATTTCTGTCATTTTGGCAGATTTCGCTCCTAAATTTTGTATGTGGCAGATTATGCTGACGATTTTCAAAAGTGGCAGGTTTCGGTAGATTTTAAGAATATTTACAGTATCTTAAGGAACATGGAGACTGTGTTTCCTTTAAACCGAATGAATTTATGATAAAGAAGATATCAAAATCTATGTACACCGAAAATGACGAATATTTGGTGGCAAATACGGATGCGTAGGTAGAGTAAGAAGTTGAAAAAAAGTAAGGTGTATAAAGTGTTAACATTAGTTGATTAAATTTTATTGAATACAATCTGCATTTTTTTTTTTGTTTTCATGAAGACATATTTTTGGCATATTTGGTACAGAATGTGGCAGATTTAGGCAGATTTTTGCCTGACCTGTGGCAGATTTACCATTTTTAAGATGGTCACACTGGTTGGAAAGCAAACACGTAGTAACCCGCTAAACCAAAATTGTTCTTCAGAGCAGAGAAACTTATTTTTTTCGATAAATAATTCCTATAAACGTCCATGGTAACAAATAAGATGTTCCTTGATCAATTTATACGGAAACAAGATATTTTTTTTAAATAAAATAAAGATTTGTCATTTTAAATACCTAACCATTTTGGTTTTGCAGGTTACTACGTGTTTGCTTCCCAGCGTCGATATTAAAAAACTGAAATTTGAAAAGTTCGATACTTAGATATCAATACAAATACGAAAAAGTACAAATAGAATATGAGTCGCTTATTGAGTTTTTAAAACTAATTTACTTTTAAACACGAAAGAAAACCGGAAAGGGTGTCATAGAAAAATCAAAAACGTACGACATCTAGTTTGATTTCGGGAACTAATATATGTTATTTTATATTTCCTCATTGCGTTTTAACTTTTTTTTAATGATGGAATTGTTGTTCCTCTGACCAATTCCCGCTACTTTCCTGACAGTGTAGGATGTTGATTACGTTTCTTTAAGTTTACGCACATTTTCAATATCTTCTTCTTCTTCATCCTTAGTCCTAACGACGATTATATTGAAGGCTACGAGCTCGTCTGGACGGCCGTCCACCTCAGTAAAACAGGCGAGGCTGACCCCCTGGTCCAGATACTTTTCCCAGTTGGCTCTGATCGTAACTATAGACGGAGGATCAGAAGGAATGCCTGAAAAAACATAACGTAATAAAAATCTTGATATATACCCAAAAATGCATTATTTCACCTCGTAAGATTACACTACAAAAGCGCAATCGAACCGGCTGGTGCTGCTATCTGCATTAAAAAAAGATAATCGTTAACTTATCTCGCTTGCAAATCAAAATTTTTGTAGGTGAACAAAATAAAAGTTGGTGATTGTCTCGTTTATTAGGAAATGGGTAAGTATGTTTTTTATAGAACGATTGGTTTCAAGAATCTTAATAAAATTATTTTACAGTAAAAAATGATAACATTTGATATGAGCCATTTTCATTACTGTTATAGTTCAATATAAGTATGTATACTATCATTGGTACGCGAACTAGGCTATGATATGCTCCTTCATTACCCAAAACAGCACAAAGAGGCTCATCTCTAAGGAAGGTCTCCTGCATCATGTCGAGACACTGTTTTCTATAGCCCTCTTCCAGGTCCCTTATTTGATACCTGATTAAACAAACCATGATACTTAAAAACCATGCCCTATGGAATTAAAAGTATAGAAAACGCGTTAAGTGAAACAACTTACATTTTCGCCGGTTGTCCATCTCTTTGCCTCCCTTGAAATCTGCTCCACACTTGTCCAATCGGAAGACTTTTTGGTCTTTTCCATGACATTTTCTAAATATAATTTTACAGAATATGAAATTTTACCTATAGGTAATACAAATGATAAGTGAACAGAACTTTATTTTCATAGACGTCATAATTGGTATTATGAATCAAGACTTAGTCGTTCGTTACAAGTTTTATTATTACAAATTAACGACAAACAATAGACTCGTAATTTATTTTATGTGATCTGATAGTTTCCTATAAATAAATAAAAAATATGCACAATAATTTCAAAAATATATAATATCAAAAGAATTGTGTTTTACTTTAGGTATACACAAACGTGTTTGCTTCTAAAGGGATTCGAACCCGCAACCTTACGAGTATATGTGAAGTCAGTGCTTATTAAACTAATTTCACAACAATACTACAGTATTATTTTATTCAAAGACTGTTACAATAACAAGTAAAATTAAATTGAAGATCTATTTATTATAATTACAAATAATAGTCATTAGTAATATTTTAGATTTTTCCTGTAACCAACTTTGGACAAAAAGAGTACTCACTTAGCAGTTATATAAATGTTGCTTCCAACTTAATGAAATAGTAAAATCTGTATGGAAATAGTTTCGTTATAATATTATAATCAATGTTTCGCGGCTAATATCAACATGTGACTGACTGATCGGCGTATGATTCTTAACATACCGCTATAGAGATAATAAAAAATGGCTCTTATCGCCCCGTGATAAGATATTAATTCGCTTCACTTGTTGCATCTTGTCAGTTTATTTGTGTTTATAAGTACGCGTTTTCACAACACACTACATTAACAGTAAGCTTGCCACATTTTAGATTAATATACCAATTTAAATAGTACCTGCAAATACTTTTTTATTATACATATATTCTAATGGACCAGCTCACGCTGGTGTTGAAGCGGCTCTATATTTAATTTACATTTGTATAAATATGATTCATCTGATAATGAGATAAATTAAGCGCAATTCTATAGGCTTTAATAAGTCTGTAGACTTCTGGAAAGGTTATCGCTGTTGATTACATCAGGAACAATCCGTAATCTGCTGAAGACAGTAACCACTGCAACTTTCAAGTAGAGTTTGAAAAGTCATATATCTACTTTCATGTTATACGGGTGAGTTTGTTTATTTCTAGGGTCTTCTTTAGTCTTTAACAAGAAGTTTTTGTTGCTTTGGAAACTATGTAGCACAAATTATTTAAATTATTATCAATAATATTTTAAAGCCTTTATTGTAACTTTGTTCTCATATACATTTACATCAATAAGTATCGTCTGTCAATGTGCATGCGCACTCCCGCGCATATTTATGTCACGAACCTGTTTCGTAGCACACAAACATACAATACTATTAATGTTATGATTCTTGCAGACCATACTTCTGTATTTCATTAATCGTAGTACACAATTACTAAACGGTAAGTTATGATAATAATAACAACGTTCTACGCGGATTATTATCTTTAGTTTTTTATTATAAATATGATCTATCTACATACAGCAGTACGTCAGGTTTTCACAATATGATTTTAACTCTATCATGAAAGCATTAAGGTTTAAAATATAATGAAGAGTTTGTCAAGATTTGCGTGCTCGAAGTATGCTATCGACATCTCAGAAGTCCCTAAGAATGAAGTCTTCTTGTTTCAGATTTATAAGATTATATGTGATGTTGTCTAAATAAATGCCAAAATATAATTATTATAGGTATTTATTTGTCATTCGTCTTTCATGATTGTACGAACTCGGTGGAAAACATCTAAGTATCTACTACTAGGTAGAGTTAGGAGAAGTGACATAAGGTATTGGGACGTGTTATTAGTTTTCATTCGTAAGTACAGTCAATATCACATTAGGTTTTGAATTGAATTTTCCAATTTCAGTGTACTTAGAGATGTAGAGTTCAAACTGTGATCCATTTCATCTTGGGCACCCGGGACTGGTAACTTTATAACAAGATATTTTATTATAAGATAAATTATGATAATCCGATATGCTGCTCCGATGTGCTTCGGACATTGATCATATCTTGACATTTTATTTTAATCAAATCATGTTAGTAAGCTATGCCATAATTAGTGCATAGCGGTACGTATGTATGTAAACTCTTTGGAAAATATTTTTTATTATTATTTCGTTCTCTTAATCCATGGTTTTTCAGAAAAAAGTAGACGCTACAGAAATTCTGGATTTCTTTCGACTATTTCGATTATTTCACATAGATAACTGTATCGAGATACAAAATTAACTAATACACTGTTCTGTCATATCATTAACTTGCGAATATTTTGAAATTAAGAATGCAACATAATTCTTTAAAGAATCTTTCGTTTTTTTTTACGCATCTTCGAACGTTTAATGCACCAAAAACAGACTCAGAAAGAGTTGTAATGCTAAAATTACTTTACCAGACATAAGTTACATAGATTCTATCCTATGACTTGAAAATAAATCTACAGGAGGGCTGGCAGAACCGAGTAACACATGGCATGATCTTTATATACGGTATTGGCTTCCATGACATTAATTACCCCCTTTTTTCACACATGCCAGCTGGTTGTTATGGTTTCTGAGATCACCTACCGGTAAAACGTACTTTGCATTGCATTAGGGTTTTGTGTTTATTTGGTCTACCATTTTTTTTACATGTCGGAATGCATCGAATATACCATATTTATGAAGGTTTTTCATCGCCTTTAATTTCCACACTCCAGCTACAATATTTTGTCTCTATTCGTATTAACGTAACGAAGTAACTTTCATATCTGCTAAAAATACATGCAAGATACATAATTTCATTCATTTGCTTAACTACTGAACTGTCAGACGTGACCCTTACATTAATTAGGTCTGGTATAATTTCATTATTTGGGTTGGAGTGTGGAGTGTGGCAAGGGGGAATAACTTCACGAAAGCTCTTTAATCTTTATATGAACCGACTTATCGTTGAGCTCAGTGACTGTGGTCTCAGCTGTTCAGTCGATGGATATTCTTTTAATGATATTATTTACGCAGATGACGTGGTCTTGCTGAGCCCTTTGATTAGAGCCCTCAGAAAGCTGCTGCAATTTTGTAAGCAGTACGCGTTGGCCCATGGTCTCAGGTATAATGTTGACAAAACGGTTATCATGGTATTTACGACACGTTATTGAGCTGTTTATTTTTATTAAGAGAGTTGCATCGTTGATGCGCAGAGTCCGTGGTGGCACTAACGCTCTCCTGAACCTGATTGCAGATCGCTGCGACGGTCCGATTTTGAAGCATTGGGTGACGGTACGAAAAATCTATAGAATTTGTCTGAAAATAAAAATGTATTATCATAAATCAAAAATGTATTATCATCTCTGCCTAATAATCTTTCATTACACTGGCAAAAGTTTGTAGAACAGTATTTCTGCAAAACCCACATCATCAATCGCAATCTCTCACTCATGGTTCTTATTTTGTCTGGCAACTGCCAAGATTTACAAATACAGCCTCGCGGAGAGCGCCCAACCCCCCCTCCCTGCGTGATACAAATATTGAAACTAAGCCGAGGTGATAAGGAGCCCTCTAAAATCACAATGCAATGCTGTACTGTGAAGCGTTACAACGTGCCTGCGGTAAAATCCCGGTTTTTTAGTAATTCAATTTTGTTCTAAAAGCCTATTATTACGTCTTTATATTTCTCCCCAAATAAGTACACTTTGGGTTCTGTAGGTATAGGTAGGTACTATATAAAGCTCTAGTTAATTAAATAGCCCAACATCCCAAACAAATGACACGTGAATCAGCCCAAAACAACATTTGGTAGATAGTACGAAAATAAACAATAGTTCTGCGAACGCCTGTGTACTGCCAGGTGTCGGGGCCACTAGTGGTGGGACTCATATTTATCGATATTTATTGCTGTTCTGAACGATGAACGGCGTCATATAGTCTACAGCTAAACCATGAATGTGAAGATTACTTAAAATAGTTTTTATTGTTTTCTGTAGATTAGGAACATGGGGATCTATTATTTAATTTGATTTATTAAGATACCCACGAATGTTGTATCACTAAAAGGTTATTATTGTAGAGTTTGATAGCAAAGAACTTTTTTATTTGGTTACAATATAAAGTTTAAATAAAGTTTATTTTGTATTCATCGACATTTATTGTCGAATGAATGAACTTTTGTTTGTATCAATACTCCGTGGTATTACCCTAATTATCGACAAGTACCTACGAGCAACACTAGATGTGCAAGTAATTTTATATTTCCCCAATCCAGAATTACTTTCGCGGGATCATAAGACAGATTATATTCAGAAGTGAACCGTACGTAGCGCGCGTTGGACGCGACGAGGTGCGTCGGTCATAATTTAAAAATAGAGCCGTTTCCCGCGATTAAATTTGCGTTTCGATCTCGCATGGATAACTGCAAAGTGTGATCGCTAGTGCGTTTTGTTTTAAATAGATTCTTTTTAGTGTACATTTTTTTGTTGGACCATGATCTTGTATGGGTAAGTGAGTACTTTTTATATGTTTGTAATATAGTCGTGTGGAATTGAAAGAAATGTGTATATTTTATATAAATGTTTAAAAATGGAAATATTATAAATAAGCTTACTGGGAAATTCTTCTTTCTTTGTTTCAAAAATTCTTTGCTTTAAAAACGAATATATTGCAAGGAAATAATCCTAATTCAGAAATGCAGTAAACAATTATGAGTAAAACTGCTTATCTTACAATTGTGGTGGAGTCATGATTAGATTTTTTTTTTTACTTTATTATTGTAGTTTGTTTTCATCGTCACGATAAATTATAAAAAATACAAACCAATAAAACTATATAATAAAGGAACCAAACGTTATCTTGAGTCTTGATACGAATGTGCTTCACGGGCATCCTCAGAGGTAATAAATTTATAATTATACACATTATGATAGACAAATACTATTAAATTAATACCTACCTTCTGAGATAAAAAATACAAAAAGAAATTATTTATCTAAACGGGTAATAGTTCTGTTCATAATTTCAAATCATAACAGAATAAGATTTGTATTATGCTTAAATAAATGTAGAGTAAATTAAGCCAAAGAAGCAATTTGATGATAAAAAATTGTAAAAGAATAAGTTCAAAAACTAAATCTCGGCTGCAACTAAATTATGCTCTTAAAAGTTTCAAACCAGAACTTTATAGCGACAGCTATATTATAACAGCGATGACCAAAGAAAACCAAAGCCACTGATAAGAACATAACAAACTGTTGTGATATACAACTACGCTGTCCTTTGGTCATCGCTGTTATAATACCTATAGCTATCTCTATATAATAAATTTCTTGTGATTCAGCTGTGGTCGGGTATTAGTTTTTGTACATATTTTTTGAATTTAATTAATTTTCGGCCCTTTAATTTGATACTTTACACGGAATAATTGAATATATATTTTTAGTTACTTACTTTATGTTTTCTAGAGGGCGCTGTTGCCAATTTCATGTAACGTAACATAGTTGTTAGGGAATAGATGAACAGTTTTACATACATACATACCGGCCAATATCATAACCCTCCTTTACGCTTTTCGCTGTAGTCGGGTAAAAACAGTTAATATATCCATTTAAAAATGAAAAGCAATTTGAACACAAACAATATATACTAAAAATAATTTTGGGAAACAGTGTAAAGT